AGAATATAATATATACAGAATAGATTAATGAAGTTGGAGGAGTAAATACGACAATCAAATCATTCAATGTGTGACGTTTGAGGTTTTGTAGGGGTTACTCAGACAACCTCAGACCCTTACTCGCGACTAATTCTTTCGGTTGAGCTCACGGGGAATTTACTCAAAACAGGATTATTGATAGGAAAAAGATCCTTCAATTATCACTCTGGCCTATAAATAGAACGATAATATAATGCGCGAACTGTTTAAGGTCTATACGACATAAGGTACAGTAGAGTCTCCCTATTATTTTGGCCTTGAAACTGAGAATTCGGCGTACTGAAACGGCCTGGGATCCCCCACTTTTCCGTGGAAGGCGTGACTTGAGAAGAGAGAAACAGAGAGAGAGAGAGAGAGAGAGAGAGAGAGAGAGATAGAGTGGAATCTGTCTGTTTCACTTTTCCTGTAGTGGAAGCAACCATAACCTCAACCTGTCAAATGAAATCAAATCCAGAGGGTGAAATTATTAGAATGACTCTTTTGTCTGTTTAATTGTTTTTATTATCAAACACCACAGTGCTCTATCCACCAAGATATTCACTGGTTTCACCTTTTTCTTGATTGAGGAAGAACATTTTCGAGCTCGTTTTTCCATTTCTCGAGTTTGTCTTTTTCACCCACGACTGCACAGTGGCCTCGTGAACGTTGAGATTTTCAGCAATTGCTGAAACTGGAGTCCCACTTGTTACCTCGTCTACGGATTTTATTTTAATGTGTAACTCCACTGAAACTGGAGATTTCCTTTTCAAATTTGTTTTCACCGGGGACATGTTGAGGTTATAAACGACAAAACACAAGGCTATACATAACACATGACGGGTGGCACCACTGATCTCTATATAACTGGATAACCGATTCTATTCTATTCGTAATTGGTTATATCCTCTAACAGCAGTAGAGGCAAGCACCATTTCTCCTCCAAGTAATTGATGGTTATGGTTACACCCCCCAGGGGGCAGTACCGAATAGTTCAAAACTTCTTTCTTTTCTTGTTTGATTCACTTACTACTCGTTCAATTCTTTTCTCTTTCAAATTCAAAATACATCACAGGTGAAACATGATCAAAACAACACCATCTATCCAATGCTTCGGGAAATCCCGAAATCAGGATATTTCATTTCAAATATTTTTCACTCGGTTTGATAGAACCTTGATGATTGATGTTTACATTCGTGTGTCCTTGGTGTAAGAATAGATGTTATTCAATGGTATCCGCGATGTTTTGTGTCCATTATATGAATTCCGATCGATTTTTCCCGAGAATTAAAATCCAAAATATTGATCTTTCACCAAATCTCCAATTTTAATGCCGCAAAAAGTCGAACTGAATTTACAAAATTAAATTTCCTTCAAAGATAATTCCACGGCTAGTATAGAAATCTTGAAAGAATTTAGTCGGAACTTCCACTTTCAGCACACTTTAAATCTGATCTTCGATTTTATTTCCACTGATTCTATATACTGCGGAGTTCGTTGGTAGTCTTTAAGACTACTATTAATTCTCGGAGAGCCAAAAAGAAAGGAAAAGAAGAGGAAGGAAGGAAAAGAAGGAGCAGAAAGGAAAAGAAGAAAGGAAAATGGAAAAAAAGGAATAGATGTTAAAGAAACAGGATATGTTCCCAACTCGGGCTAGAATATCCTGTAGTACGGAGCGACCGAGTGAACCGCTCCGCTTGGCGTCNACACTTCAATTCACCTCACTTTGAGAGTGGTGGGAGCATAGGGATCAGCTATCCAGTTATATAGAGATCAGTGGGTGGCACCGAAGAGTCTCCCACTGCGCGTTCCCGTCGCGCAGCGGGACACACGCACTTACCACTACACGTGAACGGACTCAGTGGTGGGGGAAGGCAACTTCCCCAACTAAAATCCTAGGGAGTAAGAATAATAGGGAGACTCTGCTGTATTAACCCTCCTGAACTGGCGCGCAGAGCGGCGCGCCGCCGCCAACTACTCAACCTATAGGGCACCACTACAGTGCAAGTGAGACGTAAGAGATCTAGCCAGTTCAGGAGGGTTAAATGGATCCAGTGTACGCACACAGAAAAACCAAAACGTAAATTACGTTTAAGAAGTCTTTTACGCTTTCCGAAGAGTATTTTACGTTTGAAGTTGAAGAGTAAATTGCTTTCAAATTTTCCGCTAATTACAGTTACATAAAGGTAATATACGGTTTCGTATTCGTCAATTACAATGATTTTTTTCCGTATTTTACATTGACTGATCCGTAATTAACGACGACAAAAAAAAAGTTATTTCAAACGTAAAATATGATATTTTTTCGTAAATTAAGCATAAGTAAAGCGTAAACTACATTCCTATTACAATCGTACTTTACGATTCCTTAAACGTGAAATATGCTTAGTGAAACGTAACAGACGTTTTGTTTGAGCGTATTTTACGTTTCTGTTTTGATCGGAAAATACGTCTTTTCAAAGCCTAAATTCCAATTTTTTTGACAGAAAAAAAAATCACTAGACATCGTATTGGGGTTAAACGTAAATTACCTTAAGCAAAACGTAAGTTACATTTAGATTTTTCTGTGTGTGATTGTACTGTTCCGTCTCTGCCCGTGATCTGCACTGATAGAATGATTCATTTATTCCAAACAAGATTCGTTAACTATTAATGAAAGGTAGAGTTAAATATGGCCAAGTAGATATTAGTAAATAGTTAATGAATGGTTCACTTGGAAGGTGAAAGTCGAGTCTAACAAGGCTCCTCATCAACTACGCATTTGTTAACCATCAACGAAGAACATTTTTTGAGACCGAATAGACCGTAAACTCCAACCAAATCCATTCGTTAGAATAACTAATCCTTTCTATCAGGGTGCCTCAATTTTTGGACTGCAACTCGATACTAACCAAAAAACGGAAATTAAACATTCTCACGGTTAAATCAACGGTAGTGAATAAATAAGTTCACAACAGCGCTTAAAAATACTTATGTTTATGTTTAAAAAATGAGACTGGTTCGCGCTATGTGTCAGTCAAGAATAATCTGGTGAAGTTGGGTTTAGAGTTCGAGAGGCCATGTCGAAATTCATTCCAGATTTCAATCTTTAAAAATTGAGAAGTGTTCATCTCACTTCAATTCAGTGATGGAACGTGATAAGCTGATGTTTCACACGGAGCTAAATCCTGAATTATCTCCTCAGAGAGTGTGTTAAAAATTGAGCTTGGTCAAGGGCTCGTTCCAGATCGGGAATCATTAGGTCACGTGGTCTTTCATGGCCATAGCGCGCAATGAGGGTCAGCGTGCCGTTTCACAGCAGTTCTGCTCGGAATCTAACCGAGTAATGAGTCGGTTTTTTTTATCATCACATGGCATTTAATCCGTATTCATGAATATGGTAGCACATCCCGGTTTACTAGTCTGTCGTATCACGCGTTAATGGTCGTTAATCATATTGATTATGAGGAATATTTCTGGTTGGTTATCATATATTAGGGGTAAAATAGACGTTTATCAGCCTTCAATCACGGCTGTTAGGAGGTTTTTTATTCACCGTTATCGGTCGTTTTACTCATCAAATTTTGAATTTTTTAACAACGAATTATTCGCCAGAAATTTCCATACATATTATTGACAATGTTGTTGACAAATCACTCAATTTCTGGAATATCCAATGAAATCGCAAGTTTCAGATCCGTGTCACACTAAAACTTATCGAAAATTGTGAAAATTCTGACAACTGTCGCTAGGAATTTACAATCTATTAAAAACTCGATTGAATGCGATGTTTAATTTTCATATTAAGTTTGATAATTCAGGTGATCATTGAAGTAGAAATGAGCGCCGAAGATAACACACCCAATCGCGTGGAATTTCGAATGTGAACGAGAATTCAAATTCACATTCACCAGATTGAAAATTCAAATGTAGCTATTACTTGAGTTTTAAAAAGGTTCTAACAGTATAGGTGCAATATCATTGCAATTATCCAATGCTTTCATGAGGTTTGTGACATCATACAGATTTGTTTTTCGTCTATATAATCTTATTTCTCATTTTTTCCAAAACTGACTCGATTATATCCAACAGGTGCCTAACTCCCATTAACACAGTCCGCCAACCTCGTCGAATACTCACTTGTAATACCACAAGAGCTTCAAAATAATCGGGTATTTTCCGATAGGTTCGTTGCAAACAAACGAAGGAGTCAAGTTTTTCAGGTTAAAAAATCACGAGTGCGAAGCACGAGTGATTTTTCGTGAAAAATTTGACAACTTCGTTTGTATGCAGGGAACCTTGAGGAAAATGCCCGATTAATTTTGAAGCTCGTGTGGTATTCGGGGAATTATTTTTCCAATCCAAATGTCAGGCAATATAATTGGACCATGAGACGAAACTCACAATTGAGAAACGAAAATTGTATAATTAACACTCATTTCGAATAAAAATCCTCGGATTACCACAATTGAATTCAATCTGTCAGTTTGACGAGGGGTTAATTCGACTGCATGATGTTTTGTTTTTTATATAGCAACTACCAGAGAAAATTATCAAAAAATTATCAGTTAAAAACCCTGTAACTTATACCACGTGATGTCGAATGGGCCAATTATATTGCCCGATATTTGGGTTGGAAAAATAATCAATTTGATTTAATGAAAAAATGTCAGACGATATTTCTGGGTGAGAAGGGAATCCACTGCAAAATGATTTATTAATATTTTTTGATAGACCTGATCGCTTCTAGAATATGTATGTAAGAGTGTTTACGCAATGGCTGGGAAAAACAATGCGTCAGTTTTCACTCTCTTTTTATTGAGCAACACTACGAATAGAATTCGATAGCACTACGAATTCTATTCGTTGCACATAAATGTGCAATAAAAAAAACGAGTCGGAATCACCACATTATTGTTTTTTTTTTCATGAGAAAACATATGGGAATATCGATGAATCATAATGTCGTCTTTTAATTGTTTGTAGTGCACCTAAAGGAGGAATCATGAGACGGCAATCGTTCTGCCAAAGCCTCAGCATCGGCAGTGAGCCGCAAATAATCGTGGAGGAGAGTACACTCGGCGAAGAGGAGGCTGATAAGCGCAGGACTGAGTCTCCACCGCGATGCCTGGATCCAGACTCACCTTCTCTCAATCCGTATTTACTCTCTCCGTTTCGAGAAGCACTGCGGAAACATTCGTTACCCACTCTGCAGTGCACACCTGGGATCACTGCTTCACAGGTAATTCGTGATCAGAAACGAGTAGAAGAGGAATGGGGGAATCAATATAATTGACTATTTATCTGCGAATATCTTTGAGTAGAGAAGGTTCGGGTTGAAAATCCCGGAGAACTTTTTTTACAGAATTTCAAGGGTCACGAAAAAAGGCCTTTGATATTGTTTAATGAAAACAGTGGCTTCTCAAGTATTCAGGTCGTGACCTGTATTTAAGTCACGATCTAAATTCAAAAGTTGAGTCGTTCCCTGAATTGAACTCATTATCTTGATTAAAATACAACTTGAAGTCAAATCGAGACTTGAATTGAAGTTACGACCAGAATTTTATTTGCCAGCAAGATTTAAGGCGTAATCTGAATTTGAGTCGCAATCAAAATCAGAATTGTTATCTAAATTTAGACGTGACGTAAATTTAAGTTGCAACTTGAATTTGAGTCCCGTGTGGAATTTAAGGCGTGTGACCTAAATTTGAGTCGCAATCGAAACTAGAGTCGCTACCTAATTTTAAGACGTGACCTGAAGTTGTGGTCTGAATAAAAATCATGACTAAAATTTACGTCACGATCTGAAATCGACTTGCGACCTAACTTTGACCGTCTTTCGTGAAAGTTGGAAAAAACTCACTAATTTTGGAGCGAAGTGGGCCAATTCGTCCGGTAAACGCTGAAAGCAAGAAAATGTCTCTGAGAAATAAGTTGTCAAATGCGAAAATCAGAAATTTGTTTTTCGATCTTTGCAAAATAGGTTGCAAAAAATAGTATATTTCTATCGAATGTCTGTATTAATGAGAAAATGAATTTTTATTAATGAAGCGCAATTGTTAAAAAACCTCAATTTCAACTTGTCTAGAACTTTACAGAAAAATGTTAACATCGCGATTCAACGCAAAGTGAGAACTTCGAGATTTCTCGCGAAGATTGCCGTCAGTTCAGAATACACCGTTCCGTGTATTCTGCATTTATTTTTGTATTTGTATTTTTGTATTTGTGTTTTGCACCGTCCCCCTCCTTGAGACAAGTCTAAACTTCAATTTCAACTTAACTAGCACTTTACACAAAAATGTTAACATCGCGATTTAACGCAAAGTATGAACTTCGCGATTTCTCGCGAAGATCGCCGTCATTTCAGAATGCACCTTTCGATTTGTGTTTCCCCCCGTCCGCCTCCTTGGGACAAGTCTAAACTTCGATTTCAACTTAACTAGTCCTCTGTACAAAAGTACTAACATCGCGATTTAATGCCAAGTGTGAACTTCGCGATTTTTCATGAAGATCCCCGTCATTTCAGAATGCACGGTTTGATTTGTGTTTTCCACCATCCCTCTCCTTGAAACGAATCTAAACTTTAATTTCAACTCAACTAACACTTTGCACTAAAAAAATTTTAACATCGCGATTCAACGCAAAGTGTGAACTTCGCGATTCCTCGCGAAGATCGCCGTCATTTCAGAATGCACCGTTCGATTTGTTTTCCACCGTCCGCCTCCTTGGGACAAGTCTAAACTTCAATTTCAACTTAACTAGTATTTAGCACAAAAATGCTGACATCGCGATTTAATGTCAAGTGTAAACTTCGCGATTTTTCATGAAGATCGCCGTTATTTCAGAATGCACCGGTCGATTAGTGTTTTCCATTGTCCCCCTCCTTGAGACAAGTCTAAACTTCAATTTCAACTTAACTAATACTTTGCACAAAAATGCTAACATCGCGATTTAACGCAAAGTGTGAACCTCGCGATTTTGAAAAATTGTATATTTCGATACAACTAGCAATTTACATAAAGATATCAGCATCGCGATTCAACGCAAAGTATGAACTTCGCGATTTCAAAAAATAGTATATTTCGATACAACTACGATAGGTGTTTCACGAGAGTTTTCGGCGCGAAGTCAACATAGCAGCAGTGACATACACTATTGCAGTTATCTCCCTTCACCAAAGGTTGAGTTTAAGAAAATCATCAAATTGTTGTTTCTTTTTCTCAATTTCTCAGGTGAGACGATTGAGTGAACGAGGTGGTGGAGCCTCTGGGCCGACGCCTCGTGAAGCCGAATTTCTGGCAACCCTCTCACAAGCTCCAGCTCCACAACCAGGTGGTAGAAGGCACTCAGTCGTGACAATTTCCAAAGTTCCGCCAACTCTATTTGGCCGAGGTAGACGAGAGTCAATAGCCGCTGTTCCCATGGGTGCCACAAGGATACTCCCGAAGCGACGTGACTCAGCCTCAGGCATGACTGGACCCCCCAGCAACTCTGGAAGTACTCACAACCTACAATTAGATATTATGGACGATATTGCTGAGATCAAAGCGAGGAAGGTAAAGTATCGGTAAGATTTTTATTTTAAACAATAATGTTCTTGTGTCGATTAATGTTGTAATGTTTCTCTTGAACGAATTTCCCCTTTAAATCTCAATTAATTAGAGGAGAGTGGGGTTAAATTGAAGAAAATTAAAACTCCTGGAACTTTTTCTTTTATCTTTAGCTGGGGGTCAAAGATATTTAAGATCGTTTGTAGCTTGGGGTCAAGTGGTCTCAAGCACCGAGAAAAAAGTTTATAATTGCCAGAACCAAATTACAGAATTTAATTAAAGAAACTTGTAATTCCAGAAGGTGCGATACCAAGACTAAGAAACATTACTTAATTTCAGTAGGAAAATCCTAAAAATTCAGTAACCAATAGCGGTGGCTGCTGTGTAGTTAAAGTATGGGATTGACATGCGGGAGAGCCGGGTTCGATTCCCGACTAAGGAGGCCAAAAAAAAAACAATTAATCCACGAAAAAAAATCGAAGCATAGAACGTCAATATTATAACGGAAAACTTTATTTGAAAATTTTTATTTTTGTTGATCAGCGATTGAAGCAGTGTTCAACAACAATAGCACTCCCCTTCCATTTCACCCCCCCCCTCCCCCGGGATTTACAGACGAAAAAACCTTAAACAAAAAGGTCAAAAAACATTTTTTGTTGGGACTTTTGTCAGCTACAAGTTTTTTTTTATTTCTTCTGGAATAACTGTTCTAAATGTTCCATAGGGTTTTAATAAATAATAAAATGTTCCAAATACATTTTAATTAGATGAGATTATTCACACAAATTACTGTTTATAAATTGGCCTAACTTATTGTTGTCAAAGCGTGTGAACGACTGCTTGAATACGTCTCGATACAATTGGTGTAGCTGCTTGAGGATTATCTCCACTCATCACATTTTCGTGGCTATTCGTCTTCCACTTTCTAAAATTACTCGTGGCAGTACTAGCTTTAGGATAGAGATAGTCGATCTTTAATAAAGATTTGCGGTAGACCCCACTTTCCTGTAGAAAACTTCCTCGATCTCTCTTTAATTTCTGGATCTTTTCAACGACTAACTTCTAAGTAAACATGTTTCGTCTACATAACACCAAAATGAATGATTCTACGTGAAAATGTGAAAAACCTTTTTGTGTGGAGAAATTGAAAAAACACTGCTCGATAATTCATCCTAAACCTCCTCATTATCCAGATAATGCCATCTTTCTCAATGTATAATAATCGACTCATCCATTTCCTCCTTTCTTCAAATCTCCTATTCATTAAAAAAAAATACAGCTTCAACCCCCTGATTACGTTCCAGGTACGCCTAAAGATGTGGAGAACATCCTCACACGAGCGAATGTGCGAAGTCCAGCCCCTGGAAGGTCCCTCATCATCCCAACGTTACACTCAGCAGTCCCGTCGTCACTCAGACCTCCCTCCTCCTCCAACAGCCCCAGCCCCCCGGAGACGAGCCTCCGAGCTCCCCCCCTCCACCCGCCGTACCCCCGGCATCGTCTGTTCAAACACTGACCTCATCTCCATCCTCAGTTCCCTCACCTCCTCCGCCACCGAGATAAATCGCTGTGGGGAGGATCCCCCGAAAGAAGAAAAAGCTAAACCCCTCCAGCACGAACGAAAACGCCTCAAGGACAGGTCAAACAGTTTCGATGTATCCATTCTTCACGGGACTAATCTCAAGGTCGCTGACGCGGAGAAGACGTCAGGCACCTCCTCATGGTTTGTCAACAGACATCAGCCCATGTGGAAGAAGCAAAAGTCGTCTGAAGTCGATTTCCCAAGTCTCAACACGAAGCTTGACAAAGCCAAGGTCATGAAAGTCGTCAACGACAATTTAGGGAGGAGTGGGAGCCCTCCGACGGAGAGAGTCCGGCAGAAGGTCCTGTGGGACGACACCAGTGGAACCAAGGTCGACGCTCAAGTCCTCGGGAGCGCCATCGAGGGGTTCCTGACAGCACAGAGAAGCTCTGACGGCGATCATGGGGGCTCAGGGGGAAAAGGGGGTGGAAAGGGCAAGGGGAAGGGGTGGTTTGCGGGAGGTGGAAAGGAGGGAGAGACGAGCGAGGGGTGCGAAGCATCCATCTGCTCGTCTTTGAAGGATCTTTTTGTTAAGTAAATTCTTCGGATAGAAGGTGGGGTTTTTTAAGGTCACGAGGGTCTTTGCTGGTCAAAGATCTTTTAATGGTTAATTTGGGAGGAATGGGGGAGGGGAGAGTCGGAAGTTCTGGGGTTTTAGATATAAAACTTCTGGGGGTTTTTGATGAGTCTAGTGAAGAACGGGGCGATCTTGTGTTTACAATCTCTGTAGTAAAAAAAGTTTAAAAAAATTGTGAAGGACTAAACTTCATTTAGGGTTGAACATTCTTAAAAGTCAAACGGGAGGGACGAGTTAAGTACAGTAGAATCTCGCTATAGTAGAGTCTCCCTATTATTGTGGCCTTGAGACTGAAAATTCGCCGTACTGGGCTGAAATTCTGCGCATTTCGGGTACCCTAAAAACCTTAAATTTCAACGAATCAGAGCTAGGCATCTAGAATTCCTGCATTACCAATCGGGAAGCATGGCTCTGATTGGTTGAAATTTAAAGTTTTTAGGGTACTCTAAACGCACAGAATTCTAGCTCTGAAACGGTCTGGGACCCCCCACTTTTCCGTGGAGGGCGTGACTTGAGAAGAGAGAAACAGATAGAGAGTGAAATCTGTCTGTTTCACTTTTCCTGTAGTGGAAGCAACCATAACCTCAACCTGTCAAATGAAATCAAATCCAGAGGGTGAAATGATTAGAATGACTCTTTTGTCTGTTTAATTGTTTTTATTATCAAACACCACAGCGCTCTATCCACCAAGATGTTCACTGGTTTCACCAATCTTTTTCTTGATTGAAGAACATTTTCGAGCTCATTTTTCCATTTCTCGAGTTTGTCTTTTTGTTTCACCCACGACTTCACAGTGGCCTCGTGAACGTTGAGATTTTCATCAATTGCTGAAACTGGAGTCCCACTTGTTACCTCGTCTACGGCTTTTATTTTAATGTGTAACTCCACTGAAACTGGAGATTTCCTTTTCAAATTTGTTTTCACCGGGGACATGTTGAAGTTATAAACGACAAAACACGAGGCTATACATAACACATGACGGGTGGCACCGAAGAGTTTCTCACTGCGCGTTCCCGTCGCGCAGCGGGACACGCACTTACCACTACACGTGAACGGACTCAGTGGTGGGGGAAGGCAACTTCCCCAACTAAAATCATAGGGAGTGAGAATAATAGGGAGACTCTACTGTAGTTGCATGCCCGTTAGTTGCTCGTTTTCCCCTAATCCCCTTCTTGGACGCTCGAGCACTACTCTCCACTCCCGGCCACTTTATCGTTTTCTTTTGTCTTCCGTACGTAAACGCAGAGATCCATAGTATATTTCGTCACTAGGCCGAAAAAAAAAATTCTGGCGAATATGAGCCCGAGCCGAAGGTGAGGGCTGCAATCATATGAGCTAGAAAAGTTTTTTTTGGCCGTATGACGAACAATATTTTTTGTCATAACGGCCGTAGTCAGAGATTCACGGACGCGGAGCGGAGCGTCCGTGAAGCACTGCCTCACGGCCGGAATGACAAAAAATAATTTTATTCGAAAATAAAACTATTCATTCCTTTTCATTTTTTTGAGAACTTGGGTCGGCATTGGGAAAGAAGTGGGGACCGGTGGAATGCTCATTTCTTGGAAATGGTACCCCTACAGCCCTTTCGATGAGCAACTAGCTAGAGTTTACTGTAATCATTTGACTGGTCTTCCTCATTCGATCTTTAAGGACGTTCGACCCTTAAGAACGAAATTCGCTACCGTTTCACTTTGCACTGATTCATCCTAGGAGCTTCAGAGATATTTGCTGAATAATAAAGACTCAAGAGCTTCATGTGAGTTAATTTACCATCAGTTGAAAAATAGACGTGTGTGGTGATCTCGCAGAAACCAAAGTTCTTAAACTACTTCATTAAGGTGAAACGAAACCCCTGTGTTTATGTAAACTTGTAGAATTGCGTTTTCTCCTGCATTCTTTGTTGTTTCATTATTTTTTATTTATGAAACTACCCCATTGACTCAACACTGCAATATGAAGTAATTTCATAGATATAAAGCAATAAGTGTAGCACGGAAAGAAATCGTCAATAAAAATTATGTATTTTTTCCGTAATTCCGGAGCGAAATGTGGTTGCAGGAAATTTTACGGAACTGTCACGGAATTTTTCCAGAGCGTTCCGTAATTTTTATCTGAATCTCTTTTGAAAAATTACGATACTGTCACTTAAATTTTCTGAGTCGATTCCGTAATCGGTGAGCGAATTGTGAGTTCCATAATTTTCGCTGTACATTTCTCTCCGTGAGGAGAAAAAACAATTCTTAAAGTTCATATAGATACAAAGATTCCGTTTCCCGTTAAGAAAAAAAAACGTCTGAAGAATTGCAAGTCATAGAAACATGAGTAAAAAACCATTTTATCACTGATAGGGATCCCTTAACTTGTCACGTGGCATGTCTCGATGTCTTCTCAAGGATTATCGAAGTACTCCAAGCAAGCGTGACACTTTTCTTGAAAAAAAAATGGAAGATATCAACATACAGACCGCCACTGTTGTAATAGTATTAGTGTTTTTGATGGAGCTATGTCATTTTAAACTGATAAAATGTCTGATGAGTTCGTTACTATCTCTCAATCGAATAGGTTTACCGAAAAATGTCATAAGAGCTAAAGGATTAAATCTCCTTACAAGAAAAATCTTAGGGCATTGGCCTCTAAATTACCCCATTCCGAAGATATTTACGAAATAATCAAATTTTTTTTGTCATTCCGGCCGTAAGGCTTGCAGCTGTTATGACAAAATAGTATATTTCGTTACGAGTGCGGAAAAGTGTTTTTTGCCTTCGGCCTTCTCGCCTTCGGCTCGTGCTATAAACCTCCCACGAGCCAAAAAACACTTTTCCCATGAGTATCGAACAATATTTTTCATCACAATGTGTGGAAAAGGGACGTTTTAGGCACGCGAAGGGTGCCTAAAAAGTTACTTTTTCGCACAGCGTGATGAAATAGTACATTTCGACACGAGTGAAACGGCATTTACACGAGTGTGGAGTTGGCGGCCCGAGGCGAAGTCAAGGGCTACCAATCGCACGAGCTGAAAATTCCCGTCTCACATGTGTTGAACCATATTTTTTGACAGTGATTTTACGTTCAGCAAGTGGCCGAACTGTGCCTTTTTCGTTTACAAGTAAACGAAAAGACTTTCCGTTTATTTTTCGTTTACGACTAAATGAAAAAACTTTTCGTTAATTTTTTATTCATGAGTAAACGAAAAGGTCCTTTTCGGCACGAGGTGAACGTAGCAACAGTGTCAAAAAATATTGTTCGTCACGCGGATCACAAAAACTTTTATAGGTGATATGATCGCCACCCTCCCTTTCGATTCGGGCCGCAACCTCATATTCACCACACTGATAGAATGGTTTAGTCGAACCAAACGAGACTTTTTAACTATTACCACGATTCGTTAACTATTAACCAATCGCGGTAACAGTTAAGAAGCCTCGTTTGGTGCAACTGAATCGTTCTACTTTTTCTATCAGTGCAGAAAAGTTTTTTTCGGCCTTATGTTAAAATTCACTATTTTATCACTGATGCCACCACTTCTTACCAAAAAGTGCCGAAAAATCGTTTCGTTTACTTGTGAACGGACAGTTAAACACTCGTTTGAACGTAACATTACTGACAAAAAATGCAGTTCAAACACATGTGCGACGGGATTTTTCATGTGTGTGATTGGCAGCTCTTGGCCACGCCTCGGGCCGTCAACTTCACACTCGTGAAAAAATCGTCGCACTGGTATCGAAATGTAGTTTTTTTCGAAACTTTCTGCATTTCACATTCGTTTAATGTTTTATTTTTCCGCAAATATCGTTAAAAGCTAAAAGGAATTTTTTCATCGTCTAACAGTAAATTCCAAAATGCCTTCAAATATTTCTCCTCCCACAACTTCACTGCTAAATTAATCATCTCGGTTAAAGAATAATTAATGTCATGTGAACTTTCACTGTTTTCAAAAAAAGTCTCAATGTTATTTCATAACAAGGAAAAAAATCAAATAATGATAAGTCATTTATGTAAATAATACAGTTCATTATCTGAAAAATTTGGAATTCGATTATTCTGTTGTACAAAACATTCCATATAGTTTCACAATTTCTGTTTCCATCCAATAAACTGAATAATGAATCGAATAAATATTATTGGAAATGAGTTGACGTCAGTTGAGTTACTGAGTTAGTCAATATCGATAAGCTAAATAAACAAAAAATGTAGGATAGTGAAGATGTTTCAAGGACCATGTTGTTAAATGTATAGACAATCGATCGAATTAATGACGAAGATACTGGATATATTTGAATATTGAATCGTAATAAAGATGTTTTTTGGTTTTTCTGTTCAAGTTTATAACTGCAATAAGACAGTACTATACCGTATTATTGTCGTATTGTCAAATAGGCATGGCGACGGAAATTTTCAAAATGCATGATGACCATTAGTAATTTATTTAATTGAGAAAGATATACTTCAACACCAGCGTAGTATTTCTTCAAAATCACCTATTGCACACGAAGGGATGCCTTCCCATCTACAAAAATTGTATTCTGCACATTCTGATTACTTGACACGCACGAAAAAAGTGAACAAACAAACCTATCGAATTCGTTAGAAAATTCTATTAAATTTCTATTAAACTTTCCATTAGTTTTTGGCTGATTCTATTGATGTGTTCAAAAGAAAATATTCAATAGAAAAAATCAACAGAATTCGATTTTTCTATATAGCTTACTCTTTTCATATATTTTCTATAGAATTTGTTCGACTCAAATGTTCTAAGTTTTTTTCATTCTATTTTTCCTTTCTTCTCACCAAGAAAATCAAACGAAAAAACTTAATATCTCAATAGAATAAGTTATGTAGAAAAAGTGAATTCTATTGGCTTTTTCTACTGAATATTTTATATTGAACATTTCAATAGAATTGGTCAAAAACTAATAGAACAGTTCAATAGAAATTCAATAGAATTTTCTAACGAATTCGATAGGTTTTTCTATTCAATTTTTTCGTCCGTGGATGTACATTCGAATGTGGGTTGGTTTCAATTAAGCATTTAAAAGTCGAATGTGGAATTTCTAACACACAATTTGTAATAAGAATACTGTGCGCCACTTATGGAATGAGCAACTTTTGATGCATGATTAGTACAATCGATTGTGCTCCATACATAATCGAAAAACGATGTTTTATATTTAATATCGTCCGAGTGTCTCAATTTTCATCCGATTGACATGTTTTTTTTTTCAAAATATTCGTTAGACTCCAAAGAGCAAAGCCAAAAACCTGTTTTATGACACTAGGCTCGCTTCGCTCGGTTAAATTGCGGTTTATCGGGCCCAATGACATCAAAA